GTGCCTTACTAGTAGTAACAATGTTTGCTATTAATTTAATTTGTCACGTCCTCACTCCAAGGCACATACATCAGCACCTTGGCGGTGCCCCCCACCGCATCGCGCAACAAGGAGGTGAGCTTATGGTCTCAATAAGGCACATGGCGCCGCTTCCCAGCCACCGCCTCGATGACGGAACTCAAGGCGCTTAGAGACTTGTTGATCTCGATGGCCTGGAGGGACGGCCGATTGGAATCACTGGCGTTTTCAGCAAAACATGTTGAACATGTCGTGGCAGTAGTCTACGTTTCCTTTAGATGTATATAGATACATGTTTATATACACATACAACCATATATATAATTATATATATATATACATACGGGCGCAAAAGCAGAGAGAGAGAGAGAGAGGAGAGAGAGAGGAGAGGACCTACATGCCATTCAACAAAAACCGCGAGTACCGACCTCCTTCTGCAGGGGAGCCGCGCCTCCTTCTGCAGGTCGCCCACCACATGCGTCCGCTTGAGCCGCTCACAACCGCCCAGGTCGCAGAAGGTGAGCTTCCGACTGCGGCCGCGCGGTTCAGCTCCAACTCCCTTCTGCGGGTTCAGCCGCACAGTGAAGACCATGTGAGAGCGAGAGCTGTCAGCGTTCATGGCCTCATTTTTCCGTTCACGATGTTTTGAAGAAGGGGCAATGAGAAGAACTGCCAAAATAGTCAGAAAGAGAAACAAAAGTGCAAAGATTCCAAAACAGATCATGTCTTCTTTTTGAGAGTGCCCCTTTCCCAAGTTCAGGCGCGTGTTCGGCCACCACTCGTTGGTGAAGGCCCTTCCGCAAGATCTGCAGCAATTCCTGTGGGTCGGCGGCCGGGATCTGCGCAAGGCCATCCACCTCGACGCAACCCTCGGAATCCACACAGACCTGAAGGAGGGACGGAAGCTCACGACCAGAACATGCGGGAACAACATCATATCTGACTTTTTTTTATGAAATATGTATATATATATATATTTGTAATTATAGGGCAAAGTTTTATTCGGAAACTAGTTTCTGAAGAATAGATTCTGAAGAGTAGTTGGGGAAGAGTGCCAAATAGTTGCGCAAGAAAAGTTTCAGAAGAATGGAGAGTTGCGGAATAGGACTTTGTTCCTTTGATACTAAGCCTCAGTAGCACGCAAAGGGAGAGTGTTGAAAACTCACGTCTCGGCTCGCATCGGTGGAGAAAACTGAGAAAACGAAAAAAAAAGTGTGAGTTCAGAAGCACTTCTCGATCTGTGTCCCTCTGCCCCCCTTTCTTGTTCGTTTGGTGCTTTCACCTCCGACCTTCACGCCAGGACTTTGTCTTCCGGTTTTGTCAATGGGCCGCAGCAAGTCAATGAAGTGATTGTTGTATAGCTCCAACGCAGAGCCGCACACGGTGACACCACACGGCCGACCCTCACCGTCCTCTTGATCCCCCAAACGTGCGAAGACCTCTCGGATCATGTACTGCGCAAGGCCCTCTTGGCTCTTGTTTCCAAAGAGCGTGTAAGTCCTCAGAGATGGGCTTTTGAGATCTGTTGCCTCAAGAACGTCGCTATGTGGCCCCACCCCCTTCCAAGCGGAACCAAACAGGGCCATGGTTTTGGGGTCGGACAGGCCACATCGAACTACTGGCATCAACCTGGTGACTCAACACCTTGCGAGTGTCTTGCCAGCTCCAGTCTGCCCGTAGGTCATGACAGTCACGTTGTGGCCGTCCACTGCTGATTGCACCAAATCCCGGCAGTCCTTGGGTGGAGGACCAATTGCTACGGTTCAAACAGTTCGCACAATATTCATACCCTCCGCACACGCACACATGGCAAAATCATTTAAAGAATCCATCTTTCCACCTGCAACTAGTGGAGTGCCTTGTTCTGTTGCAATCACATGACCATCACATGCTTCTGATTGCCGCACCCCCACACACCCCTAGATTAAGAGGAAGAGTCTTCGAAGATCTCCGTGACCTGCTGAGGGCAATCCGGCCGAAAGACGCTATCAAACTCGAAGCTCCGGGCACAGGGCACGCCCTCCGGAAGGGCGATCTCCACATGCGAGCTGTCCTGAGAGATCTGATTGACTCGACCCCAAAACATCAGGAATGGTGAGCTCTGATTGACTCGAATTCGCTTCACTGATGGATCGAATCTGGCGTTTGAGTTGGAAGGATGACCGGAAAGGATGACCGGTGGCCCCAGCGTGAAAGTCCAAAACCGGATGCCCCCAAACGGCGTGCTGTGTTCACTTCCAATATTCCTCCAGCGTGCTGTGTGCCGTTTCTCAACCCGAGCTTCCACTGCATAGACTGCGTGCTCGCTATTCTTTGCCCGTTCCTTGGCACTGAGAGGCCGGATGCGACAGGAGACCTGAGCACGTGCGGAGCAAGAAGCACTCTGTTCGCCCTTTCAATGGAGAAAAGGCACCTGTTGGAATATGGTAGGATTGTACCCATTCATGATTGAAAAATATTGAAAAGGTATCACAAACATTTCTTCCGCAGCAGTCTCCCGAGTAATGTTCAATGGCTTGCCCGTAACCAAATCACAGGTGGCAATAATTACTTTGCAATGGCATGGCATAGCCCTAGCACTATCTTCTTCTGCACTGCCAAGGCAAGAGGCCCGCAGTTGGCCCTTCATGTCCTGCAAGGCATTGTGCAAACGCCTCCGCTGCTGCTCTGCAATACCCCGCTCCACCCGAGGAAGCTCAGCTGCCTGCGCCTCTGCCAAGGCATTCAACAATTTTGTCCTGGGAACTATCGGCTGGCTCCAAACAACAGTCTTCCCTTCTGAAACTCAAGCAAGACGATTGAAGTCTTGCAAGCGTATTGATCCTAAGTCCTCCGTCCTGCGCATCCCTTTTTCCAAGACGTCCATCCCCAACCCCTCGAAGAAAAGATTGCCCTAAGAAAGCCACGTAGCTTCTTGTTACTAGTAGTAAGGCCAGGAGCCCCTAGTAGCGTCCTTGCTCGTAGTAA